AATTTTATTTTTTTAAAAATAATTGACATAGTAAAATAAGAACAATTTCCTAAACTTTTGTCTGAAAGTTCAGAAAGTCAAAAAAGAAAAGAGGGATGAGGGTCATCAATTTTTATGATTGATGATAAATATAGTAATAATAATAATAATAATTTTTATTAATTTTATGACCAAAAAGATGAATTATGTCTACAACATCTGTTGTTATATTCTCTTTTGTAAACTTATTATTTGCTTGATAAGGTAATAACCTGTATAGACTAGTAATTACTGTATCAGCCGAGTAATTTCTGTCTGATCTAAGACATTATGATGCTAGATAACTGACATACAGCTAGTAAATTAAGTTTCTGCATTTATACATTCCTCGCTAGTTAAAAGGAGGGGAAAAAATTCAAAGTATTGTTGTGAATTATACATAATGGTTCACTATAAACTCTCTTATATTAAATTACTTTAGAGGTCAAAAAGTTTATTGAATAAACAGAACTTCCTTAAATAGCAAGGAAATTACAAGTTTAACTTCTATAATTATAAAAATTAAAATATAAATTAAATAGTAATGGAATGTGTGTTTTTACTTAAAATAACAGCAATAATAAATATTTTTAATCGGTTTACGTTTTTATTTTTAATATTTTAACTAATTAACACGTTCTAATTAAAAAAATTTAAAAGCAATAACCAATCAGAGCCCTTCACTTCAATATTTAATCAATTAACACGTTCATGTCAAAACTTTAAACTTAATCAAACCAATCAAACATCTTTATTTCAAAATTTTAAAATCGTTAACTAATTAGCGCTCGTTACTTGTAAATATAAACTGTTATTACTTTATTTTCTATCGATTTAAAAAAAAATGTGAATTTTAACCAATTAACGTTTTCTGTTTAAAAGTTTAAAAGCTAGTCAATTAAAACTCTCGTTATTTTAAAATTCAAAGAGATTATCCAATTATCTTCGTTTGTTTTAAAGATGTAAGCATGTTATCCAATTAATATAAAATATTTTTAAAGAATAAAATTACAAAACAGGAAAAAATGCAATTATAAACGTTTTTCCTGAAATATCTGAGCTATTTTTTTATGGATTTTAGAGGAATTTATGTTTAAAACAGTATCTTTTTGCTATATATTATTGCACGTATTGCTCAATAGTTGGCACTCTATTAACACATTGCGTTAACTGATAATTTCTAGTTTCAGTATTCTATTTCAAAAATTTTAAATAATTACCAATCAATGCCCTTCTTTTCAACGTTATAACCAATTAACACATTCCATTTCAAAAATTAAAAAACGAATTCAACCAATGAAATCTTTTTATTTCAAAATTCTAAACTCGTTAATTTGTGAATGAAAATACTTATAAAAAAAACCACTGCAGGGTTATTTTTCGTTTCCCCTTTTTAATCATAAAACAGCGAAAAGTCGTGTCATACTTTACTGCAACACATAAGTGTTTCTCATTATTGGTTATATTGCCAATTAGGATTTTTCTGTCATAAAGTCACGAATGACAGCTTTCCCCACAAAACGTGACGATACTATGGATGCAATCCGTACTTGTAAGAAAGAAGATACTACATTTTTTTGTGTGTGGTTTCGGCTCATTACATCAAAAAATCTTCATTCTTTGACAGTTTTTGTTGCGTGATTGGATTTATAAAAGCCAGGCCATTCCTCACTTCGATCTCTCCCCAAAAAAATTAAATAAGAAAAGGAAAAAAACACGACATTCGCTTTAATATTTTAATTTTATAAATTGAATATAAAACCGGGGATAAATTTAGCACAGTGCTAAAGTGGGGGACGAAGGGGTATTTTTTCTGCGCGCGCGTTTAAAGCAATTACTTTTTTGTAGACAAAAACAATGGTGATAGATTATTACTTTTTATATTTATTTATTTATTTATTGAATATGAAGGTTCTCGCTTATCTACACACGTGCAGAACATATACAAAAGTAGTTTTGAGGGAGTAAAAAACTAGTGTCTTCTGTTGATGTCACCGGTGTGCATCGATGATTACAATGAATGTCTTCCCACATCAACTGCACATGACAAATTGACAAATAACAATAGATGAATCAAAATCCATACAATAGAAAGAAGGGAAGAACACCCAGCTTGAAGAAGTCAAATGTCTTTTCTTTGATTAATTGATCTTTTGTTGAAAATCATCTAAAATATATTTTTCTTTTAACTTTTAATATTAATGATTTTTTCCCATTTTTCCCTATTTTTTTCTCCCCTCGGTTTTTTCGACAGGAGGAAAAAAGTATTTCATCCTTTGTTCATTGTAGATAATTATTTTTACTATTTATCTTTATTTTAATGTTTGGTTATGATAAACAAATCATGAATATTTATTATTTAAAAATCTTATTTTTCTCTTCCCCACGATGAATTTTTAAAATTTCATTAATTTTAATTATTTATTTTTTTTAAATTAACAATCAATTTTTATTTAAAATTGAACACATAAACAAATGCCTAATTAGTTTTACTAACTTGAAAATATTAATTTAAGAGCTGGTGTGTGTTTAATTATTGTTCAAGATTATTAATTATTAGTAACTAACTTACCGAAGTTTAAAAAATAATAAAAATTACAGCATTCATTGACGTTATCTTATTAAGAAATTAGAATGTAGAATGATTATTGGTTGTTTATATTCAAATTTGAAAATCAAGAACAATAGTTGGTTGATTTAATTTATTTGAATTTAATTTTTTTTCAAATAATCTGAATGACACGAGGTAAATTTTATTTTTTCAAACCTTTTTCATGCAAAGTTTTTATATTAATCCGTATGAAAATAATATATTTTTTAGCTTTCTGCTCTATATTTGTCATCTCGTCTCTCCATCTTCATAAAAATGTGGCACACAATCAAAATATACGCCTCGTAGAAACCTTTTAAAGGTTTCTACATTTGAAACATTGAAATCGTAAGCTTTCCACTTGGGTGTTTTGGCATGTTTTAAAGTTTCAGGAAATAGGTTATAAAAAATAGTTGAGGTTGTAAAATGCTTTCTATTATCTCTCTCTCGCTCACACACACACGCGCGCGCGCGCGCGCAGAAAAACACATACACACAATGACTTTCCCGGCTGTTATATATAACAGAAGGAAAATATGACGTTTCAAGGTCCAAAAATGTAAAAATCTTGGTTTTTGTATGTATGAACGTTAATGAGTGGGGGGCACGATATTGTTTGCCCACTTTAAAGCTTAAAAACTCTTGTCTTTCGTCCAAAATTTCTGAAATTTTGCAGGAAGGTTTGTGTATTAGAGAGGTTGATGCTGTTAAATTATGGAGGTGAAAGGTCGAAAGGGTGGAAAGATAGAGGAAGTCGTGTCATGTCTCGAGTGGGTCGGAGTTAATGAAGATTTTACTTGTTATAAGCATTTACAATTTTTTAAAAATAAAATTCATTCCTATCTCAAAATTAAGCTTTTTGCCGTTTTATAATAATTAAAAATATAGAAATTTTTAATAAAATATCTTAACAGATGGCGTCACCACAATTTTAAATTTTTTGTGCCAGGAAAGTTAGGCAACTCGTTGCTGGATTTTATATATACATATTTCTTTATCTTTTATATCCTTTTCGTACAGATAATATTATGTTTTTTAATGGGCATCCTGTCTTGAAGAATAAATTTTAAATTTTCTTAATTATTTTTAACGAATTTATGCGTTTCTATACGTTTAAGGGCTCAATAAACATGTGAAATAGCACTCCTTTTATACAGTCAAACCTGTGAACAACGGTTACTGAACATTAAGAAATGGCCGTTGTTCGGAGATTATTTTGTGCGCGTTTCAAAAGGAAATGTTCCTAAAAAAGATGGCCGCAGCCGTATTTAGAAGTGGCCATTGTTGAGAGCGGCCGTTATACAGCTTCGACTGTGTATAATTTTCCATTCCTATTTGCTAAATGATGAAGAGAAGCTGGAAATTTGATGAAGGGGATAAACTAATGTTAAATATGGTTAAATTGTAATTAGCCAATCTCTTAAATTGACCCGATGATTGTTTACATGTCACTAGTATCAGTTAAGGAATATTGTTAAGTAGTATTTAGTTAAACATGTCTAAAAGTTTAAATTATAATTCAAAACTTAATTAGATTTTTGTCTAAATTAAAATACCGTAGTAAGAAAGTATTGTATCATATGACTATGAGGAATCCGGTTTCGAATCTGGCCTACACTTTATAATTTATAAATAATATAATGGGCACTAAGACGGCCTTTTAATAATATCTGTCAAGGATTCGTCAAGACCCACAATAGAGGCAGACGGATGGTGAGAAGAGAAGCCTGATATATCCTGGCCAGACCACTCAAAAAATTTCAGGAGTCGCGCGCCAGGATTCAATTCCGGAGTCCTGAAAGGTAGGATGATACCTTAACCTCATTAACCAGCTGTAGTAAGGATTGTAGCTAGGGATTGTTTACTATTGGTGCATGATCAATCCTATTGAGGTGCTTCCATATTGTGCCAAGCTGATTCTTAATGGGGCTGTCCATCATTCTTCAAGTGATATGAGGGACTGCACATTGTGGGTGGGTTGATTTATTTGGTTTTGTTTACTGCAATGGACGATCTGTCGAGGTATTCCTGCAAAGAGAACTTTCTTAGGGTAACTACCCCATTTTAGGTGTTATACACGTGAGGAAGACCCGGGAAAATCCACGTTGGAGAGATGCCAACCCACGACCATAACCTACAATGTGCTAGCACTTCTTATTAATTAATTAATCTTAATTTCTTGGGATTTAAGGAAAAATTAGCATAAATTATTAGTGAAATTTAGGTCATTTAATTGCTGGCATCTGTTTTGTTTTCTGCCTACCTCTGCCCAAATTTATTATAATTATTTGTAAAATAAAATATTTAAAATAATAACCAACATATATAAATAATTTCAATTCTGTTTAATTAAAAAAATTAACATAAAATTGGGAGGGTTATGCAAATAAGAGGGCGGAGCCGACGAATTAATTTACGTTTCAATTATTTTCGTTCAATTTCATTTAATAATCAATTTCCATTGTTGCATCACTTTATTAAATCGATTTAAGTAATTTTATTGGAAGAACATAAAAATTTGAATTTGAAAAAATTAATTAATTTCATTTCTTTAAATATATTTTCTCTTAGACCTTATCATTTTTTAAAAAATCAATAACAGACAATATCCTTGGAAATAAATAATATAAATTAAATACAATTAAATAAATTGCATTTGTGTATCTTTAATTAACTTTAGAAGAAAATATAATTTAATTTTTAATGTGAAAATCATTAAAAATTGAAGCGAAATAACTCTGTTTTATGGTATTTATGGTATTATTTAATGTAAAAAATATGAATAATAAAAAATTTAAAAGGGTTTGATAAATTATCTTTTTTATAATTATTATTTCTTCTTACACAAGTTGTTTATCACAATTTATAAATTGAATTTTTCAACTTGAGAACTTAAAAAACATTTTTACATACTTCAAGACATCTTCTCTATTTAATTATCTTACTAAATATTGATTCTTTCTGCTTTAAATATTTCATAATGGCCTCTTTCATACGTATCGCCTTATTGAACCAATCAAATTTATTATTCCTTATCTTAATATATTCAATTGATAGCATTATCCGAATTTACATTTCCAAATTCTTTACATAATTAATTGTCATTTCTCCTTGTCATCATCTGCATCCCTATCATCTCGTATGCTTTATCTCTTTGCTTGTGTTTGTATATACAGCTTTGTGAGCATCATTTTAACAGTTTTAACGAGTTAAAACTAAAATAATTAATTAATTCTTAACTCGGAATAAATACTCACTTCTCTTCCTTATCTTCTCCATCCCTAGCATCACTTAAGATGCTAGAACAGTGTTTACTGCATCTCTAGCATCTTATACGATTCTAGAATATATGTTTATATATATATATTTAAAACTACAGTAGGCCTACAGTATATTTCTCTGTATATGAGGCTTCGTAAGAATTATTTTATACTGTTTTATACTGTTAAAAACTATAATTATTTAATAATTAATATAGAATAAATGATCACCTCTCCTCGTTATTATCTGCATCTCTATCGTCTCGTAAGCTTCATCTCTTTATTTGTGTTCAGTTTTGTGAGCATCATTTTGAGAGTTTATCCTGTTAAAACTAGAATAATTAATAATTATTTAATAAAGCACAGGATAAATATACATTTCTCCTCCTCATCTTCCGCATCCTTAGCATCTCTTATGATGCTGGAACGTGTTTATATGATAATTACTGTAAATTTTTATGTATATATGACTTCTAAGCATCATTGTAATGGTTTCATTCTGTTAAAACAGAGGAAATTATCGTTTTTCTTTGTTATCTTCTTCATCTCCGTTACTTTTTTATCTCGACACATGGAACTACAGCATGTGTTCTCCGTTGTATGCATCATTTCTAGTTTTATCCTGTTAAAACTGTAATTAATAATTAAGTATATACATATACACAATGTTTATTATTATCTATGCGTAATTTAGCACTTAATCTAGATAATGTAATTTGTCCAACTTTAATATTTATTAAATTTTGATAAATATATGGATATTCTATTCGCTTATTCATCTCTATTATTTGATATAATAATGTTTTAATTATTATTTAATTAGTTATTTGTCCGTTAATAATTATTTTATGTTATAAAAAATAAAATAAATGCGTTAACCTTAGATTAACAGTGGCTTAGAAGTCAGTTAACTGGAGTGTAATAAAGCAAACCAATTCGGTTAATTTACTTTTTGGTTCATAGTTCAAAAGAGGAGCGTGCAGAAGATGGATGAAGATAAGATGAGAACTTGTCAATGTACAAAATATCATAAAGTATGTGCTAATATACTCTTAGATAAAGATTTATGCAAAAATATTAATGTTTTTGCATACATTTTATGTGTTTTATGGAGTAAATTGCAGATGAAGAACTGTTGAAGTGATGCAACAATGATAGAAGATGCTGATGGAATAATACGATGTTTAGTAAAATAGATTAAAGAATTAGAAAATATGAGTAAATATATGTCAAAAATAAATAATTCTCTTGTTTAATTCTTTATTGTTTTCTTTAAAAATACTGTAAAATAAATTGTTTATTAAAGAATTATCAGGATCACTCCGGGATTTAATAGCATCATCAGGATTTATGATTCACAAATTAAGACAGAGGCATACACGTACAGTACAGTACATACAGCTATTTATTTTTTATTTATTCCCAGTTGTATCTATTATAATTGAGAAGAAATGCCTCTTCATTTTATTCTAATATGCCTCCTAATTGTGCTATTTGAATCAAATGCTTGTTTCTGCTATCGAATCCTGCAATGATGCTGACATTTCTACTTGGTATACTCCAGTATCCTCCTAATTATATCAAAAAGAAACTTAAAGGATTTAATCATGTTTTAGAGGACTCACAGAAAACTGAGAGAGAAAGTACATAAAGAAAAGGTGAAGATAAAGTGAATTTATTAAAGGAAAAATGTTCAAATGTCCTCCGCCATGAAGAAAAATGTAAGAAAAAAGAGCATCAAAAGCAAAGAACGAAGAGAAAATTTAAGAGAAATTTAATTTAATAAAATC